GAATTGGATCAAGAGGTGGCACTGGCTCAGGCTCTAGACCTCGTGTCAGCTCCCAGTATGCATAAATGTCCTCGGGCATGATGAGGTACGTGCATGAATGTATATTAAACAAAGAGGGTGCATACAAGGTAATAGTCTCACACTTAGTTTTAGCAAATACCAAGTAATACTTAAGTCTCTTCTTCTTATCTTTGACAATAAAATCATGTGCTACCATACTCTTATAGTCTAAGAAAATAGTGGGAAGCAACTTTTCCTATTTCTCATAATGCCTAATAGGTATCTCAAAGTGTTTAGCAAGGCATGAAGCAAAGATACCTCCAAATATGGGGCCCTTTGAATGGTTCAGACTTAACCGTTTAGCAACAATAGCGCCTAAACTGAAAGTTGTATCACGAAATAAAGCATGGCACAAAATAGCAAGGTCAGGAGAACTGAGGCCCCCACCGTTCCCACGACCAATTAAACATCTACTAGAAAATATTGCAAAGTATCGTAGGACAGGAAAATGTACACTAGTAATCCTTGCATCTGAAACTTTTCTCGTTTCCCCTATAGCAATTCTATCAATAAATTCATCCACATCACTAGGATGTGGTTCCTTGATGCTTCCCTCCAAGGGCAGCTTGCAAACTACACAAAAATCATATAGTGACATCTCCTTAAACTCATCATATAAATAAAAATCCACCGAAGGTGGTGACCTTCTAGCATGGAAATGAAAGTTTTGCACGAAAATATTAGTGAGTAGGAGGTACTGTTCAGACTGGTCGTGGAGGAAGTCGGTGATGCCTGCATTCTCAGCCAAATAGTAGAAGTCGTCGTAAATTCCGGCGGCTCTCAAGAATGCATCACAAGGCCATTCACACGGCCGAACCTCCGCGGTGCGAGGAAGATTGTACTTGGGCTTTTTATTCTCTTCATTCTACTTTTCCTTCGAGCTTCGGCTCGAGGAGCCTCTCAAGAATCTCTTCATAATTTTCTTCCTCTGAAATTTTTTTGAAATTTTTAGTGACTCAAAGTAAAAGTGAACCAAACTCAATAAGATTGATAGCAACTACTCTCACAAGTGCCCAGAGGCTATATCATGCATTAAAACTATTTTATACCATATAAATTTGACATGCAAGCTCAAGAGCATGGTCACCTCGGCAGCAAAAAATTGCAATAAATAAAGCACTAGAACAAAAACTAATTGGACCATTGGAGGAGTCACATACCGAAGAATAATCCCCCAAAGCAGTTTTGTGAATGGAGCTTTGAGCAAGGAGATCGAAAATGGCAGCAAAACGAGCAAGAACACGGGTTTGAGCTACAGGATGATTTTTTCTAGAGGAAGAGGAAGTGTGTGGGTGCTGGAATAAGTGGAGGGGGCACGTGGGGCCCACGAGGCAAGGGGGGCGTGCCCTCCACCCTCGTGACCAAATGGTGGGTCCCCCTAGTGTGTTCTAAGTGCCAGAAATTCTCAAATATTCTACAAAAAATCATACTCAATTTTCAGGGCATTTGGAGAACTTTTATTTTCGGGGTATTTTTTATTGCACGGATAGTTCAGAAAACAGACAAAAAATACTAATTTTGCTTTATTTAATCTAAATAACAGAAAGTAAAAGGAGGGTATAGAAGGTTGTGCTTTCTAACTTCATCCATCTCGTGCTCATCAAAAGGAATCCACTAACAAGGTTGATCAAGTCTTGTTAACAAACTTCTTCCAAATAACATGAAACCGGAGAATTTTCGAATAGCACTAGGTTACCTCAACGAGGATATGCATGTCCCCAACAATAAGAATACCATATTTCTTTTTGACAGTAGGAAGAGGGAATTGAAAACCTCCAATAGTAGTGGTTGAAATTTTTTCAACAAAATTTATACTATGAACTTGAGGTTGTTTCTTCGGAAAGTGTATTGTATGCTCATTACCATTAACATGAAAAGTGGCATTGCCTTTGTTGCAATCAATAACAGCCCCTGCAGTATTCAAAAAGGGTCTACCAAGGATGATCGACATACTATCATCCTCAGGAATATCAAAAATGACAAAGTCCGTTAAAACAGTAACATTTGCAACCACAACAGGCACATCCTCACAAATACCGATGGGTATAGCAGTTGATTTATCATCCATTTGCAAAGAGATTTTAGTAGGTGTCAACTTATTCAAATCAAGTCTACGATATAAAGAGAAAGGCATAACACTAACACCGGCTCCAGGATCACATAAAGCAGTTTTAACATAGTTTCTTTTAATGGAGCATGGTATAGTTGGTACTCCTCGATCTCCAAGTTTCTTTGGTATTCCACCTTTAAAATTAGCAAGCATGGTGGAAATTTCAGCTTCCGGTATCTTTATTTTATTTGTAACAATATCTTTCATATACTTGACATAAGGATTCATTTTAAGCATATCAGTCAAACGCATAGGCAAAAAATAGGTCTAATCATTTCAGCAAAGCGCTCAAAATCCTCATCATCCTTTTTCTTGGATGGCTTAGGAGAAAAAGGCATGGGTTTCTGAACCCATGGTTCTCTTTCTTTACCGTACTTCTTAGCAATAAAGTCTCTCTTATCATAACATTGATTCTTTGATTGTGGGTTATCAAGATCAACAGCAGGTTCAATCTCTATATCGTCATTGAAGACTGGTTCAGGGCCTACTGTGGGAGTCCTGGACTAGGGGGTCCTCGGGCGTCCGGTCTATTGGATATGGGCCGGACTGATGGGGCGTCAAGATACAAGACAGAAGATCGCCTCTCGTGTCCGGTAGGGACTCCTGCATACGTGGATGGCAAGTTTCTGTTAAACCGACTTTGTACAACCCTAAGCCCCTTCGGTGTCTATATAAACCGGAGGGTTAGATCGGAGGCAGGAACACAACATTACTAAGCTAGCCAAACTAGGGTTAGCTAATATGATCTCGTGGTAGATAAATCTTGTAACCCCTATACCCTTCGAATATAATCAAGCAAGAGTAGGGTTTTACCTCCATTAAGAGGGCCCGAACCTAGGTAAACACTATGTCCTTTCATAGTTACCACCAATCCTGAGACATATAGCTTGGTCCCCCTACCCGAGATCTGCCGGTTTTGACACCGACAACAGGGTCTTGTGGGCCCTCCAGCAGGCCTACTGCTAGGCTCCCCTCGGTGAGCCACCCCCGGTGCATTACACCGTCACCAACAAACACATAAGTAGGCCCTCCACCGAATGGGCAAAATGGCCCATATGGCCCAACTTCTACAATACTACCAATGCATCATGTACATTTTCTTGCCGAGTTGAAGTGTGTACTACAATACTAGTACTACTATTCAAGTTGTCAAGTATGTAAACAATAATGTGAGAACTGTCTTTTTTCTATGATTCAATGGATCTTTGGTTCCGTGGACACTCGCTTCTATCTCCGCATCCGTGCCATATTCGCTTGAGTTTTGTTTACGGTAGTATTCATTTCCATATTTGTTTCTGGGGTTTTTGTATTCGTTTCCGCTTCCGCAAAAAAAATGAAAACAATTGTGCCAACACCCAGTTTTGTTCATTTCCGCTCCATTTTCATCCCTACTACGAGTTGTCTACTGGATCTTTGCTTGGGCACTGGTTCTTGCGGGATTGATGGACTGCCCATCCCTCTTCAATGGTGTTGGTGGATAGGTTGACCGGGAGG